GTGTTAAGGTATTCTTCATCAATTTCTGTAGAGTTATTCTTTAATGTGACTTTCTTTATTATTGAATTACATTCTACTCTTCTTTCTATTATATCATTTATTTTCACTTTAATGTGCCTTTTAGTGCTTTCTTTTATTTTATGTGATATTTTAATATATTTAATATATTCTTTTTCATTATTGACATTGATATTTATTGCTTTTATTATACTTTCTATTTGTTCCCATCTTAATTTCTTATATAATTTCTTATTTAACAAATTAATTCAAAACAATACAACACTTCAATTAGAATTCTATTTGTTTGTTCTGTTGTATTTCTTGTCTGACTATCATCTCTTGTTTTTTGACAATCAGTGCTTTGCTTTTCTCTTCGATTTCCACTTCTGTCTTTTTCATAGGAGTAGTTTCGTTCATCTCCATCGTTCCTGATGATGCTTTCCTCAGTACTGGTTGTGTATTTATCACAAGCGTCATCGTTTTCTTCTTCTCCAGTTCCTTCTGTGAGATAAAATTTTCAATATCATCTTGTTGTTTTGATATTATTTGTTTTTGTGCTTCATTTTCTTTTTGTGTGTTGTCTAATTCTTCTCTTGTTATTTCTGCAATTTCTTGGTTTTTAATTACGATTTCTTGATACTCAGAGATTTGTTTTTCTTTATCTCTTATTTCTTTCTTTAATTCTTTAGTATTTTCCTCTATCATTTCAATCTTCTTCTCTAGTGTGTTTGTATTTTGTTCTAGTATCTTGTTTCTCTTTTTCAACCTTTCAATTTCTTCTTTCATTTCTTCATTTTCTTTTTCTATCTTCTTTTTATTAGCTTGGATACTTCGGATTTTTTCTTCTTTGTTATTTACTTCTGTGATTTTCTTTCCTTCTATCTCATTTACTTTTCCTTGTAGTTTTAAGTTTTCTTCTTCTAATTTTTCATTTTCTTTCTTCATTTCTTCATAATTCGTTTGAATCTTTTTAATTTGTATTTTCATTTCTGTAATTTCTTCTTCAAATTCTTTCCTAACTATTTCTTTTGCTTTTCTCATCATTTCTTCTGAGATGGCTTGTTCTTCTTCCATTCTTTCCATACTGTATTCTTTAACTTTTCTTTCAATTCAGTAATTTGATTTTTCAGAGCAAGTATTTCTTCTTTTTCTTTTTCTTCTTCTATCTTTTCTTCTTTATTTTTTGTTTCTTCTTGTATTTTCATTATACTTTCTGTTTCATTTATTATTCTTGCAATTTTACATCTATCATTCATTTCTTTAATTGGGTTTTTGTTTTTAATTTCTGCTTCTATAGCTTTAATGTCTTTTTCTTCCCAATCTTTTGTTTTTTCTTTAAACTCTTCTTTCGTCTTTTCAATTATCTTTTTCTTTTTAATTGAATATACTTCTTGTTGATTATCATACCATCTTTTTCATTAAAAATAATACAATTAATATTGGAGAGAAGATAGAAGGAGTAGTAAGTTATACAAATGAAAGTATTAGTTATTTAAATTTAGGAAAAGGAATTACAGGAAGATTACATAAAATTAATAGTACAAAGAAGATAGAAATAGGAGAGAAAATAGAATGTTATATTATTGGAATACAAGTTAAATGAGAAATAATTAAAGAAAAAGGAAAAGAAATAGAAGGAAGAATAGAAATAGTTGAATTAAGTATGAAGGAAGAAGGAAATATGGAAGAAAAAATTCAAGAAGGAGAAGAAATCGAAGGAATTATTAGTAGAGAAATGAAAGATGGATATATAATTTCGTTTAATTCAATACTTAAAGGAAAATTAAATTATATTGAAATAGGAGATAATATTGAAGAAATTAATATAAATAAAAAAGAATATAATGTTGGAGATAAAATAAAAGTTAAAGGATATTATAGTAAAGAAAATATCTATTTAATAAAAGACAAAAAAGAAGAAATTAAAGAAGGAGAAATTATTGTTGGAGAAGTTATTGGTAATAATACAAAAGAATTAAAAATTAAAGTATTAATTAAAGGAAATAGAATAGGATATATTCATTATTGTGATATAAGTAATGTTTTTAATCCATTTCCAAGAGATTATTTACAAA